TAGGTTCATATATTTGTTTTATCTACCCATTATACTTTAACTTTCTGAACACAGGATTTTGTCCAATTCATAGTAATCAGCTCTAATGTCTTATCCATAGTTGGCACTCAAACATGGTCTAAAGGAAGGAAGGCACATTACTTTGAAAAGATGGCTGTATGTGGGCTGGAGATAGCTATAATAGTAGGTGTGAGTCACTATAGATGGTGTAGTGATCAGAGAAGGCTTCAGGAAAGAGATGGCATTTGAGAGGCATCTTAAAATAACTGCAGCAATTAGAAATTGAGACAGGAACAGAAATATTTCAGTCAACTGGAATATAGGGTTCAGAAGGAAAGCAGAAAAAAGAAAGGTTGAAAAAACTTTAAGTCACACTCGGAAGGTTTTAGTCCCAGGCAAAAGGATCTGGACTGTCTGTATGCCTAAAGAGGAGGGACTAAAAGTGTTAGCTCATATATTAACAGGAGTAGGAAAGACCAGAATTATAGAGAGATTGGACAGAATTAAAAGAACTAAACCAGATTCCAACTGGTTTCCAGCTTCCTTTGCGCTCAACATTTTTTTTCAATTTTTGTTTTTCAAATTTTGAGTGGATGACCATGTTACCCGAGCAATAACCAAAATTCAGTTTTAAATATATAGTTGACCCGTGAACAACACAGGTTTGAAATGTGCAAGTCCACTTATATGCATACTTTTTTCAATAAAGGCAGTATGGTACACTTTTCCTCTTCCTTATGATTTTTTTAAAAGATTTTTTAAATTTATTTGAGAGAGAGAGAGAGAGAGAGAGAGCATGAGAAGGGGGAGGGTCAGAGGGAGAAGCAGACTCCCTGCCTAGCAGGGAGCCCAATGCAGGACTCGACCCCAGGACTCCAGGATCATGACCTGAGCCGAAGGCAGTCACTTAACCAACTGAGACACCCAGGTGCCCTTTATGATTTTCTTAGTAACATTCTCTTTTCTCTAGCTTACTTAATTGTAAGAATAAGGTATAACAGTATATATAACATACAATATGTTTAATCAAGTATATATGTTATTGTTAAAGCTTGTGGCAATAGTAAATATCAGTGGTCAAGTTCCTGGGAAGTCAAAAGTTATATGTGGATTTTTGAACTACATGGGGGTCAGTACCCCTAATACTCCCACCCCACCCCATTGTCCAAGGGTCAACTGTATAGCAAAATAAATCTGTCATATCTCAGGATATTTATAAATTGTGATTATGCTATAAATTGTAAGGAGGGGGAAGCAGGAAACTTCTAGGATACTCCTTCCAAAGTGTCTACTATGCCACATCTCTGACCAAAGTGTTTTAGAAGGTAAGAACCATAAACATCTCCTTCCACGCCCTGTCTTCAAGGTTACTGTTTTTCAGTCCTTATCTCTGTTAGTCTCTGGCAAGTTTCCTGCTCTATCAATTTGCTATTTTGAACCTTCAGGTTCAGCCTTTTTATATGTTCAAAAAGTGGAGTCACTCTGACAAGAGAAACCACTGTCACAGTGTCTGTCCGCTTCACTGGAAGCCTGGGCAAGAACACAGCTATCCTTTGGGATGCCTAGAATATCTGAGCAATGGAACTTCTCTTGGTGGAGGAGGGAAAAAAATCACACAGCCAGGAGCTCTGCAGTAACTCCTGCTCTTAACAATTTGTTTACCCTTCTTTGGGACTGAGAAGTCAATCAAACAAGCTATCAATACAGTGTCTTCTGCCATCTTTCAGGATCAGACCTATACCTAGGGTAGGCTGAGTGCTCGTGTAAATGAAAGGTAATCACTGACCAAAAGTATCTTCCTAATACTATCTGAAACCCACTGATTAGGGATTTGTTTGAGTTCAAAAACAAACATAGTCTTAGAGAGGTGAGAGGGGACCTTGCTATCAGGCTCTGTATTAGGAAAACAATCTGATTAACCTAATCCACAAAAAGGGAATGTGGGTTTGACTGGGGGGAAGGGATAAGGGAGAAGGTCAAAGGATAGAAAATCTGTGAGATCATTCTGGAACACTGTATATTTCCAAAGAGAAATCCAGGGAGGACCAGAGAGAACTAAACAACAGAATGAGGGCACTAGGATCCTGAGAGGTAGCCAAGCTAAGAAGTAGAAAAATCAAGAAAGAGCCATAGCTCAGAAGATTTGGTGAATGAGTTCCAAAGGCTGACTTTACCTTGAGTTATTGCCAAGGTCCTCATTTACTCCCAATAGTTTAACCCAGCTCTCACTTTCTGTGGGAGCATCCAAAATGAGGTAGAATGTACCGAAACTTGGGTGGCCAAATGAGTTTGGGAGTGATAGATATGAAGCGAAGCCAAGAAAGAGAAGGTTCCAAAAATGGAGCCAAAAGAGCTGGAACCCAAAATGGGATCCAGTTCATTAGAATTACAGGTATTTGGGGACTTTTCTGTTTCCCATCCTACGTTATATTTAAATTGTTTTTGCTGAAAGTTTTGAGTATGCCTGGGTTAAAGAAATACGTGATCAGCAGCCACCATTCAAAATTCACCAAGCTCCAATAAAACCTCTTCACCTGAGTTCAGAAAATGAAAACTGCAATAAGGCAGAAATTTGTAGAAACACAGTGAAAGTTAGTTTGCCCATAAACATTTCCAAAACAGATAATTACACTAATTATTTTCAAAAGTCCTTCAAGCCCAGGGTAATACACGTATTTGGAGGGAAAACAATCAACATACCACAGCCATCTGCAACTGCCACTGCTCATTCCCTTCTCAAAAGATGTCCAGTCCTGGTGAAGGCTTGCCCTGACAAGGCATAATACCCTCCTTCTCCCACAGAGCCAGGAACATGACCCTTCCAAGGTTCACAAGCCCATCTGCTCATCTCCATTCTCCTCTCCTCAATTCAACAGCTTCTTCTTCTTCTTCTTTTTTTAAAATTAACATATAACGTATTATTTGCTTCAGGGGTACAGGTCTGTGAATCATCAGTCTTATACAATTCACAGCACTTAACATAGCACATACCCTCCCCAATGTCCATAACCCAGCCACCCTATCCTTCCCTACCCGACCCCACACCCACAACCCTCAGTTTGTTTCCTGAGATTTAGAGTCTCTTATGGTTTTTCTCCCTTCCTGGTCCCATCTTGTTTCATTTTTTCCCCTCCCTTCTCACCACCACCCCCTGCCCTGCCTCTCAAATTCCTCATATCAGAGAGATCATATGATAATTGTCTTTCTCTGATAATTCAACAGCTTCTTAATCTACTTTGGGCGTAACTATCTCTATGCAGACCTCTACCCCTCTGCCTTTTTTATGTATAAATATATTTCAAATCCTCTCCTACAGTGACAGAGGCTCTCTGGAGGTTGACCATTTACCTTTCAGATATCTGACCCCACCATATTGGGATTAGTCTCTCTAATCACATGCTATTCCAAAGAGATTTAGAGAAGTTACCTCAGCGTTCTCATTATTTACTCAGATGAAGCACTGCATACTTGCACACTCCCATCCTAGCCACAAAGCACAGACTTTCCACATTGTTTAAATTCAGACTAAGGTTCCTTACTCTTTTTCCTGAGCTTATCCATGTTGGCTAACTGCTATAAAAATTTGGTAATGGCCCCAGAATTTGAAAAATACAGGGGCACAGTCACACTTGCTAAAATCCTGTTTCTTCTGCATCGATTATTCTATGACTCAATATCCCCATTCTTTAGTGACTCCTTCTGCTTTCCATGCTGCAGTCTCCCCCTTATAGGTGGACAAGTCCTAGTAGCATTCTTTTGCAACCAACTGTAAATCCTATTCTAGAGGTCACCACCATTCCTTCCAGCAGACCTTACCATGTGCATAAACTCTAAACTTGCTCTCCTAACTATAGCACTCTTTGGCACTAATAGCATTGTCCAATTATACTTGTACAAGTCCCAAATACTTTCACATTCATTTTTCTCTTACCTGAGCTGCTCAACATCCCAGAGAGACATCATATTCCTGCCATTTTATAGATAATGAAACCAAGATTCTACAAGTATTAGGTGACTTATTCTGAGCCAAGCAGATAATTTAAATGAGCTGGAGTCAAGATTTCTACTTCTGACCCCAACTCTTTCCCCATGCACATTTCTGAAAATAAATCTAACTGCTAAGCAAGCTACACATGGCTGGTATTAGTCTGACAGGATGTGCTGCAGGCCCTGTGAGAGATACCTGCTTTGGTCCCTTAGTCTGTATCACTATTTTTAACCCTATTTCCCACCCCTAGCGCCAGTTCTTGATACACAAATTCACTCCCCCCCAATTTCCCTCCATCCTACTTCTACCATGTTAACCAATTACTTTTTTTGTTGTTATTCTGAATATAGTCTTGCCCCTTCTCCACTGATAACCCCTCTGTCAGGAGAAAGGAAGCAGTCTTCTTCTCTTACCCTATGACTTACTCATACTCTTTGGTTCAGAAACTACAAACTCTGTATACACATACATTTATTTATATTATGGGTCCATGTTCTCTGTCCTTGCCTTCTCCTGCCCTGTTCGAAGCTATCCGTTTGAGAGTGTAAGCTCCTGGCCCAGAAGGCTCTAGCTAGTCCATTGTGAGTACCATCCAGCACAATGCCTTGCATTCACAGGATCATAAACACTGCCGATTACGATCTTTTTTAAAAAAAAATAAGTAAATTATTCCTGTCCTTGATCTGAAATACTGACAGAAACCAGTTGCCAAAACCACTAAGAGCATTGTTTACTTCAATTCAGAGTTACTGAATAGGAATTAGCTTAAAAGAGCTGTAAAGTGAAAGACAAGGACATATTTGTTTACACGCAGTCCCAAAGGGATAAAACGAAATACTGAGTAATTTGTTATTAGTTTCCCATCCACAAGAGTCCAGCTCTACTGCATAGCAAGGTCACCCCGGGTAAGAGGATCCTAGTTACCAGCATTCCCATTACAGAGAGGATGTGATCAGCTATTCCAAATGCATACATGCTCTAGCAAAGCATCCGCTGGCTGCGTATCACTTACCGGTTTATCCTTGATGGTGGGGCTGGACACGCACAGGTACAGCTTCCCGTCTTCTTCCAGGCAGGCATCTATCAACGCTTGCACTGAGCTCTCCTCCTGGAACAGCAGAAAGGCATAGCCTTGGGAGAACAAAAACAAAAGGACAGAGAGAGAAATCAGTACGTTAAACTCAAAGTACCAAATAAAAACTTACCCGCTGTTTCACTTTGGCAAGTTCTTACTAAAATCCAAGAACTTGAAATGGGACACAAGGATGTAATAGTCACTGAGACTTTCATATGCCAAGCATTGGGTTAGGTACTTGTAGACATTATCTTGCTTAATTCTCATAAGTACTCAGGGGAGCAAGTTCAGAACTCCTCTATGGAATTTCCATGAAATATAAACACACCTCATTTTATTGTCCTTCACGTTATTATGCTTTGCAGATACCGCAATTTTTTTTTTTTTTTACAAACTGAAAACCTGTGGCAACCCTACGTCAGGTAAATCTTTTGGAACCATTTTTCCAACAGCATTTTCTTACTGTGCGTCGCTCTGTCACATTTTGGCAATTCTCACAGTATTTCAAACGTTTTCATCATGATTATTATATTAGTCATGGTGATCTGTGATCAGGGCTCTTTGAGATTACTATTGTGATTGTTCTGGGGAGCCGTGAACCGGGCCCACATAAGAAAGTGAACTTCATAGATACTGTGTGTGTTCTGACTGTTCCAGTGACCAGCCATTCCACTGTCTCTCTCCCTCTCCATGGCCTCCCTATTTCCTGAGACACACCATATTGAAAATAGGCCAATTAATAACCCAACAATGGCCTCTAACTGTTCAAGGAAGAGTCACATTTCTCACTTGAAATCAACAGCTAGAAACGATCAAGCATGGTGCAGAAGACATGTTGAAAGCTGAGAGAGGCTGAAGGCAAGGCCTCTTGAGCCAGTTACTCAAGGTGCAAATGTAAAGGAAAAGTTCTCGAAGGAAATTAAAAGTGCTACTCCAGTGAACACATGAGTGATAAGAAAGCAAAACAGCTTTATGACTGATAAATGAAAAAAGTTCTAGTGGTCTAGATAGATCAAACCAGCCACAAAATTCCCTTCAACCAAAGCCTAACCCAGAGCAAGGCCTTGACTCTGCAATTCTATGAAGGATGAAGAGAGGTGAGGAAGCTGAAGAAGAAAAGCTGGGAGCTAGCAGAAGCTGATTCAGGAAATTTAAAGAAAGACGCCATCTCTGTGACATAAAAGTGCAAAGTTAAGCAGCAAGTGCTGATGTAAAAGCTGTAGCAGGATATCCAGAAGATCTTCTTAAGGTAATTAATGAAGGTGCTTGCAGTAAACAGCAGCTTTTTCAATGTAGATGAAACAGCTTTCTATTGGAAGAAGATGCCATCTAGGACTTTAACAGCTAAAGAGGAGAAGTCAATGCCAACCTTCAAAGCTTCCAAGGGCAGGCTCACTCTCTTATTAGGCATTAATACAGCTGGTGACTTTATGTTGAAGCCAATGCTCATTGACCATTCTGAAAATCCCATAGCCCTTAAGAATTATGACAGATTTACTTTGTGCACTCTAAATGGAATAATAAAGCCTGGATGATAGCACATCTGTTTACAAGATAGTTTATTGATGATTTTAGGTCCACTATTGACCTACTGCTCAGGAAAATAGATTCCTTTCAAAATATTATTGCTCATTACAATGTACTAGGTCACCCAAAAGCACTGATGGAGATGTACAATGAAATGAATGTTGTTTTCATGCCTGCTAACACAATGTCCACTCTACAGCCCATGGATCAAGGAGCCATTTCAACCTTCAAGTTTTACTATTATTTTTTTAAGTTTATTTATTTATTTTAGTAAAGATCTCACACCCCAAGATCAAGAGTCGTAGGTACCTTCAACTGAAACAACTAGGCGCCCCAGTCTTACTATTTAAGAAATACATTTCATAAGACTATAGCTACCAGAGATTCCTCTGATGGATCTGGACAAAGTAAACTGAAAACCTTTTGAAAAAGATCTACCATTCTAGATGTCATTAAGAACAATCATGATCATGGGAAGAGGTCAAAATATCACCATGACAGGAGTTTGGAAGAAGTTGATTCCAACTTAAGGATGACTTTGAGGGGTTCAAGACTTAAGTGCAGATGTGGTAGAAATAGCAAGGGAACTAGAATAAGTATATTTTAAATGAAGATGTAACTGAATGGCTGCAATCTCAGCCAGTTTTAATGACAAAACTTTAACAGATGAGGCGCTGTTTCTCACAGAGGAGCAAAGAAATGGCTTCTTGAGAGGAAATCTATTTCCAATGAAGATGCTATGAAGATTGTTGAAATAACAAAAGATTTAGAATATTACATAAACTTAGCTGATAAAGCAAAGGCAGAGTTTGAAAGGATTGACCTCAATTTTGAAAGAAGTTCTACTGTGGGTAAAATGCTATCAAACAGCATCATATGGTACAGGGAAATCATTTGTGAAAGGAGTCAATCAATGTGGCAAAGTTAATTGCTGTCTTACTTTAAGAAATTACCACATCCATCCCAAACTTTAGCAATCCCCACCCTGATCTGTCAGCAGCCATGAACACTGAGACAAGATTCTCCACCAACAAAAAGATTACAACTCACCAAAAGCTCAGATAATGGTTAGTGTATTTTAGCAATAAAGTAATTTTTAATTAACGTATGTACAGTTTTTTAGATATAATGCAACTGCACACTTAATAGACTACAGTATGGCATAAACATAACTTTTTTTGAAGATTTTATTTATTTATTTAACAGAGAGAGATCACAAGTAGGCAGAGCGGCAGGCAGAGACAGAGGGGGAAGCAGGCTCCCTATTGAGCAGAGAGCCTGATGAGGGGCTCGATCCCAGGACCCTGAGATCAAGACCTGAGCAGAAGGCAGAGACTTAACCCACTGAGCCACCCAGGTGCCCCAGTAAACATAACTTTTATATGCACTGGGAAACTAAAAAATTGGTTTGATTCACTTTATTGAAATATTTGCTTTATTTGGGTGGTCTAGAACTAAACCCACAATATCTCCATGGCATGCCTATAAATCTGGTCATCATGAGAGCAGGCCGATTCATCATTGGCCTGAGCCACAACCACCAGCCAAAAAACCAGCATCATCTGTCCCCCAAACTATCAAGCTTTAGGCTTGACACATGCTACAACTTGGATGCACCTTGAAAATATTATGCTAAGTGAAAGAAGCCAGGCACAAATATTGTATGATTCCATATATATAAAATGCCAAGAACAGGCAAATCTATAGAGACAAAAAATAGATTGTTACTTCTAATGATGATGCTTGCTTTCTCCAAGGATACTCTCCTAACTCATGGAAGAGTATACAACTGATAAACATGGATACTAGCTGCAGAATTTCCAGAGACAGCTAGCTTTGCTCACTTCGATTCACTAAGATTTACCGAGCAACTGTTACAAGTGGGACACACTCTATGGATTATGAGAAAATGGAGATGGAGGAGAGTACTTCCTACTAAATAGACATTTAAACAATTAACTATTTGCTACAAAGCTGAATCAGATACATGGAGACAAAGTGCCTTGGCAGCCCAGAGGAGCAAGGACTTTGATTTGAGAGAATGTCAAGTCAACAGATATTCAAGGGACTAATTCTGGCATCTGCTGCCATACCAGGATTCATGTATGGCAGCTGGGCAAAGGCCCATCATGAGCTAGTCTAAGTTTCACTACTCAACTATTCAACTCCTCTGCAACCGCTCTAGCTTTGCTCAGTCTCTCAGCTGTCACCTCCACTCCCAATCCTACTACTGACCTCAAAAAAAAACCCACCACTAATATGTTTCTATCCTGGTATGCTGCATGCCAGAAATGTGTAAATGGTGGAGAATAAGAACCTCCATATTCAGAGGATTCTCACGCATCAAACAAAGATGTTAATCAATAGGCCTAGAAACAATGCTCTTGGGAATCTTGGGCAGCACATAATGACAGGAGCAGTAGAAAATGAATAATGGGTACTTTTTAAAAAATCCTTTTTCTCAATTCCTTGTCTACTACACACAGCACCCAAGCAAATATAGCAGAAGAAGGTTAACCCTACCATCTAAACAAACACAGTAGGAAAAAGATCAACCACTATCTGACACACCAAGAGTGGCCAATCCAAAAGGCAGAAGTCAATGCACAGGGACAACACCAAGCCCACAGAAGTGGGTATGTAGACACAACAGGGAGGTTGCCTACATGGGTGGGGGGTACCCAGAGCTGTTTTCTGGGCTCTGTTCCTAGGCTTGATGGGTCAAAAGATTCAGCAGGTGGCTAGGCAAGAAAAATAAAACCTAACAGCAAAACTAGAAAAAATATCATTTCTTCATATCTTCCTTTTACTGGAAACAGTATCAAACAATCACCAAGCCCCAAGGAATCTATTAAAAATTCAGTGTTTTCATTTAATGTGAGAACATTAATTCCACTTGCCAAAGTGAATATTAGAGATGAGGGAGTTAAAACATGCAAATCATAAAGAGGAGGTCTCAGCATGTCCTCTCAAACCTCCTGCCTCACCATGTTAAACCCTGGTACAGATGGCCCACAAAGGTCCTAGAGGCACACTGAAAATCTTGTTCTTGAAGAGGACCCCATCTGTGTATGTTATGCACAGATCCATCAAAAAAGCCTGGAATGGGAAGTCTGGGTTGCTCAGTTGGTTGAGCATCCAACTCGATCTGGGCTTGTGTCTTGATCTCAGGGTCATGAGTTCAGGTTCCGGGCTGAGCTCCATGCTGGCCATGGAGCCTACTTAAAAAACAAACAAACAAACAAACAAACAAACAAACAAACAAAACTGCCTGGGAATGAGGCATCCTCACTGAGCTGGGGATTTCTCCAGCTTCTTGCCACCAGAAGGCCACCAGGCTGACTACATTTTTCTGGCACATTGTTGCCTACCCTCTGATATCTTCCACATCAATTCCTGCACTGAGCTCAACCTGTGCATCAGAATAGGAGAGTATCTCCCCACAGCAGCTGAGTAGCTACCACAAAGACATGTAGATCTTCAATCAGGCCTCTCTCAGAGTCATAAATGTTAATATGAGCAGTATACA